GGGCATACATTAGTGAAGCAGTTCCACTGGAGTTTCATAATTGGATTGCATTTTGCAAAAAGGAATCACGAGTATTCCAATGTCGCTATGATTTTGCAACTTGTTTCGCCTTGCAAATATAAACTGATCATCTGAATAAGTTTTGTATATCCATTAAACTATAAATTCAATACGAAAATTACCATAGTAGATTTAACTTTTTGCAAGGTTTCAGCAATTTTATTGCAAGGAATGTATGCTGCACAATCTTAGCAACAATGGAATGCTCTTGGTTCCTATTGGCGAAATGCAATCCAATTCACAATATAAAAACTTCTCTCGATTGCTTACACTTTTCAAACTGCATTTTAATTTCAAACCAGTATCTTAGCCGGAAAAACATTTTGGCCCCATTATTTCCATGATATTTTTTCATTGATGTAATCATGTGCAATGAAATAATAAAGAGAAAAATGCAAAGATATTCCCAAGATTTTCCTGACAGCTTTTCAAGGAAGCCTCGATAGAAATTTTGCATTTTACGTGATGGGTTAAAATTTCAGTTGCTTGGCAAAAAGAAAAGTATGATTAATAAGGTGAAACCATGGAAACAGATACTTCGACTGAAGAAAGAAGGTATTCAATAATGTGCCTGCAGAAGAATTCATCCCTAAGAGGAAACTGTTTAATGAGTATTAGAGAAAATCTTTCAATCATTTTCAAGGGTAAAAGTCCCGCAAAGTTCAAGGAATTGCGGTGATTATCCTGCCTGAAATGGTTGGTGGAAAATAGTGTGAATTTTGCAGCATTGCAAATTTAATGTTTTTCCTTTTGTCTCAGTGGAGAAAACTCTGATTGTGGTACCTTTTGGCTTAAAAAACCCTTGACGCTTCTAAAAAAAGGAAATCAATACCTCAACTCCTTCTCATACAATACATGGTGCTTAGAGGGTGAAAATGATTGTGAAGAGGGTAAAAATCTATGCAGCATTGAATTCTATTTTTTACTAATTGGCATTTTTCTCTAAAATTTTACATAAGTACATTATTTAAAAAGAGGAGCACTAAATTATAGTGCTGGGGACTGAAAGAAAAATTAATGGACAGTGAAAACCATGCACTGGAGACAGTTTCGTTCAAAAACTTGGATGCATGAAAGTGTAGAATATCCAGACAAACAATTATGGTTCCACTACAAAATATTGGTTGTTAAAAACAAAAGGAATACTTTGGTGTGAAAAGAAGAACATTGTAGGCATCCTGAGTAGCTTTTTTTATTGAAAAATATTAAAGAAAAGAGAATCCTGAACCAGCATGCATATTTGGAGGAGTACAATTCGATTTTATAAAAAGCTACAGGGAAAAGTTTGATTTACAGAGAATAAAAAATATTAGTATTCAACTGAATTTTCTGACCTGAAGTACAAAGGTAAAGGTACAGGTATAGGTATGGGTAAAGTACGAAGGTAAAATACATTTCTCCAAACACTGAAACTCACTTAACCCTCTTCATTTGAACTTACAGGAGGAATACTCTTGAGGCATACATTTGAGAATAAGATATAGGAGGCTAAAGTAGGAAAATGTGTCCATGCACGTCACCCCTCATGTTTCATTTTTTTAAAGGGAAACAAAACAATTGTTTTTATTGAAATTATCTGTGAATTTTCTTCAGTTATTCTAAAAAAATTACAAGGAAAAATTTGTACTAGTTATCCTGGAAAGGAAAAACATAATCAAGGATTATTGAATGCTGCAACTGAGATACATATATTTTGCATTAAGTCATCAAAATAATGGAGAATTCTTGATGATCCTCAATAATTGAGAGAAAATTTCGCCAATATTCATCTACCAGTCATGGACAAGCGTATAAAAATGCAACAAAAAGTATTTCCTTGGTCAAAAATTTGTTACTCTGGAGATCTCATCCTGGTTTCACAACATCAGTTCAACGTTGAAATACAATACTAAGAGATAGTTTGAACTTTATGCAAAATATAATTCCACGAGTTTTATGCCTCGTTTTTAGCTTTTCAAGGAATTGATCAATGAAGAGACTTTCTAAGAGTAACTTAAAATTAAAAAGGTAATTGACACAATTTATAGGGTTCAATTTCATTTTGATCGTAAGCTCACTAACAAACAGATTGATTTTGGCCAACATGTAAAGATCTCACTATGAAAAACCTACGCAAAAGATAATCAGGAATGGTTTCAAGTTCTGACGAGATAAAACAAATTCAGACAATTGTAGTGACGCAAAAACTGGACATTTTTTTCTGAATCTCTCCGGCAAACCAGACTTACTTCAAATTTTCAACGCCTGTGTACCCTACACGAGCAACAGTTAGTTCCATCTAACAGCAAATATTTTTCACAAAAATTTTTTGCAGGAGATTGCCTGCAGGGTTCAGCAAAATACGAAGATATTTGGTTGGGATGGCGAAAACTTCAGAAGCCAACAGTTTAAATGGACCACTGGACTAAGTGCAAATTTAAGCATTAGAATATACGATCTCTCATCAAAATCCACTTAGAACATGATTTGCACGACAAGAATTGTGGAAAGTAACTCTTGACAAAGATATTAGCGTTTTTCCATACAGAAATTCAAACTTCTTGTTCATAAAAAAACCACAATCTAGTTGAGTTAAATCGCACACTAAACGTTACCGAGAAAGTCTTTGCAGTGTAAAAATATAACAACCACAATCTCGGCACTTCGGCTCAGTTATTGCAAGTTGTTTACACTTTGAACCACACAAGGTGGAAAAAGAATACTGCCCAATTGAGGAGCCTACCAAAACTGTTGTAGTGCGCAATTTGATTGGAGTAGATTCTGATTTTTCATGTAAGCGGGAAATTCAAATTTTTCTTAACCAATGCTACATAAAAACACTCATATGTTGCTTGGGAGTTAATTCCAGCAATTTTAGTTTCCAAAATCGTAGCCTATGTGAAATGGTGAGGGAAAATATATTAGAATGCTTGAATTTGTACCTTGTCTCAGGGTCCATAGCATTCAATTTTCTAGCTCAATTGTTTCACGTTTACACCTTCTCCTCCTAAGTAAATTTGCCTAGTTTGGTAGTTGTTGGCTTCAAGCTGGTTGATGCACTCGGGTAGTACATTTACAGGATAATCCGGTGGGATGAGAGCAATGGCGTAACCTCCACCTCCGGCGCCCGTTAGCTTTGTATGAAGACCAAACCCAGCCGTGATGGCTCGAATGTGTTCTAGTTTCTCATGAGAAACTTGTAAAGTTGATAGAAGTCCGTGATTTAGGTCAAACAGCTCCTGAAATATTAAGATAAAATAAAGATCAGTTTTGATTCTGAGTTGGCAGGATAGGTCATCTTGAAAGTTTTCTGCGGAGAAGTTGAAGTACTTTTCGTTCTTGTGATCTAAATGTCACAATTTCCTTTCCGTGGAACTGAAAAAAAACCAATGTCTCCACATAAAACTATTTGCAGACCTTTTTTCCAGTTTTACAAGATTTTTCTTCATCAGTTTCATATACACTGAAAAATTACAAAATTTCTAGGTTCAAAAGTATGCAAAATTGCTTTTAAGGAAACCTTCTGCAAAAATTAAGAAGAAAAATATTTAAAAAAGGTATTTTCTAATGACTCAAGAAAAGCGCAGAAAGTATGAAACAAGTCTGGTTTGCCTCGGAGGTTCAAAACTTTATGATTTACGAATAGTTTCCGCCGTATTGTGTCTGTAAATGCCATGTTTCAGGAGTGAAAAAGCCGTGTCAGATGACCGGATAAACGGATTATCAAGACATGAATATTCAATGATCTACTGCACATTCACTTCTTTTGAAAAATGCAAGAATTAAAAATGTCTGAACTTGTTTATTAGACAGACTTTTTTGAGCTCGAACAATAAATAGATTATCAAGAAAACAATCCAAGCGTGACAAAGAGTAAAAATGAGGACATCGATATTCCTCCACTGGAAATTATCAGAATTTACCTCGAGAACTGTGTATAAGCTACGGATGTCTTTATCAGAGGCTTTGGCTTTTTCGAGATCTGATAATTTCTGGAGAGTCAAAACACCCTTCTCCGCGATTCCTTCCATACTGTTTAGAATTAAATTGATCACACCTTCATGCCTTGCCTTCAGAGATCGCACTTTCGAGACCAATGACTTCGTATCCCTTGAAACACCTGGAAACAAATTTTCCAAAAATTCTTTAGGTTGATGTAATGACAGCTCCCACCACTTTAAAAGTTAGTGATAAGCATCTTAAGATACAGGGTGTTTAATGAAATTTCATTTCGGATTTTCTGGATTCTTTGCACAGATAAATTGACACTGGTTTGATTTCACAAACCAACGTGTATAATGAATTTGATTAAGTGTTTCAATTTTCATGTGCTACACTGCATTTAGTTGAAAAATCTTTGACTTCGACAGAATTTCCTGATCCTGTAACAATTGAAGCACTGGGTACAAAAAGGGCATTTCTTGGTGGTGCCTCAAGATCTTGGCTAATGTTTCACCCATTATAATTGAAGCAAATGCATAAAATTTGTTGCAACTTTTACTCAAAATATTCTTTGTGATTTTGCAATGCTGAAAATGTGAAATTTCAGAAAATTGATCCAATGGTTTTCTCTCTCAAATAAGAATTAGCACTAGAGATTCTGAAACACCGCAACCAAGAAATGCCCTTTCAACACCCAACGCCTCAATTTTTCTGGTATAATTTCTTCCAATGACAAAGATGGAGCACTGAATTTTGCAGACTCTATAATAAACTAATGAGGAATCCTAAAATGTATCAAAATCATATAGTTATGGAGGAGACAAAAATGATTGATCGAAAACAAACAAAAAAAGACATACTCTGCCTCCTTAAATTTCGAGGCATATTCTCGATGAAACCCTGGGTACAGAAAGGGCATTTCTCAGTTGCATTGTTTCAGAATCTCTGCCGATATTTTATCCATCATGATCAGAGCAAATCTATGCAAATAATTGAAACTTTAACTGAATTTTCTTCATGATTTCACAATGCTTTAAACAAATAATTGAGAAAATCAAACTAATAGTTCCTACTCCAAAACTTAAGGTAGCACTGGAGGTTCTGAAACATCGTGACTAAGAAGTGCCCTTCATCACGTAACGCCTTCATTTTGTTGCAACTGCACAGTGCAGTTAATGAAAACAATTTAATGCTTATTCTGAAAAGGTGCCAACACCGATTTTTTTGAGATTGAGTTTTTGACAGAGAAGTGATGATTTTCTGCTTTCTTCATAGTCTATCTCGTCTCCTATAAATTCTTTTTTTTTCAGAGTTAGCACCTTCTCAAGATAAGTTCTCCAATTAGAATCAATATCGATTCTTACCTGAGTTGATAAGAAGCACACTCAGCTTAATATTGAGGTCCATACACTGGAAACCACCCTCATGCTTCAAAAACCCTCGTACGTTCATCTGGAGTATAGCCCCATGAGTGCAGACAGAATTGTCCAGTCCTGATGGCTTTCCGTGATTTATTTTTTCACCATGAAGTGCCCAACAGCTTATAATGATTTTTTCCTGGAAAGAAAATGCAGAGTTGATCAAAAATTACAAACATCAGAATAAGGAGGGAAAAAAACGAAAAATAGGCCAATGGATAGGGTATGAAATAAAGCATCATGTTATGTGTTACCTCCTCAAAACTTTATGTAGAAATCAATTCACGGAATAAGAAATTTTAAAATCAACTCCTAGATAAGATAGTTGACACTTGATACTGATCAAATTGAGCACAGGTAATTAAAATGACATTTTTACATTTGTCATTTGATTAATGTTAGTTATACTTAAATATTTTCATAACTTCCTTCATCCTCTATAGCATGAATTAATTTTGTATCTCAGATTCCAGGGGACACTAATATATTTTGTAGCTTGCATAAAAAACATAGAGCATAAAAAACATAGAGTACCAAATTTCTTTTTCAAAATTTTAAATTTTAGGGAATCAGTAATTCAAAGAAGAAAAAACTAATGAAAAGGACTACGTGCAAAACGGGTCATTTGGGGCTCGGGGCGGATACCTTTGAGACTTGCCCTATTCATTCACCTAACAATGCCCCATCTTTTCCCGAAGTTTCAGGCCCCCCAAAAATTTTGGGGAGACGCGGCGGGGGGTCAAAGTTCAAAACCGGCAAAATTTTCGCGAATTTATTACTCGAAAACCAAGAAATTTTCGTAAACACGGTTTAAACGAGCGTATTCAGCGTGACGAGAGCTTTCAGAAAATGTATAACATCATAGGGTTTTGTCAACTTCAGCTCAAGTTATCGCCTCCGAAGCGCCGGAACGCTCAAAAGAGACCCCTTATTTTTTCACGTTTGGGCCGATTTAAAAAAAAGCCATTTTTTTAATTTCATGAAAAACTGATATGTTGTTCCTGACTCTCTGTAGCCCCTCTAGCTCTTTACCGCATGCTGGGGAAATGTTTTGGTCGCGAGTTATAAGAGCAGAAAGGAGGGAAGGTCGGGAAAATTGGCTATTTTAAACTGCGCGCGCGGCGTTGATCGGAGGGAAAACGTCCCCTCCCACTCATTTCGGTGAATCACACTCCTCTGCCGACCTCGCATAGTTGCCACATGGCTCCTGATCCGTCGCCGCGCGCAGTTTAAAATAGCCGATTTTCCCGACCTTCGCTCCTTTCCGCTCTTATAACTCGCGACCAAAACATTTCCCCAGCATGCGGTAAAGAGCTAGAGGGGCTACAGAGAGTCAGGAACAACATATCAGTTTTTCATGAAATTAAAAAAATGGCTTTTTTTTAAATCGGCCCAAACGTGAAAAAATAAGGGGTCTCTTTTGAGCGTTCCGGCGCTTCGGAGGCGATAACTCGAGCTGAAGTTGACAAAACCCTATGATGTTATACATTTTCTGAAAGCTCTCGTCACGCTGAATACGCTCGTTTAAACCGCGTTTACGAAAACTTCTTGGTTTTCGAGTAATAAATTCGCGAAAATTTTGCCGGTTTTGAACTTTGACCCCCCGCCGCGTCTCCCCAAAATTTTTGGGGGGCTTGAAACTTTGGGAAAAGATGGGGCATTGTTAGGTGAATGAATAGGGCAAATCTCAAAGGTATCCGCCCCGAGCCCCAAATGGCCCGTTTTGCACGTAGTCCTTTGCAAAATCATGCCACAGAGGAAAGATTCAATTTTTAAAAATCCCAAAAATACCTTGTTACAAATTTGTAACGCTATTCATAGAGGGTTAAGAGTTGTACCAAATTTCCAATTGTGTGAATCGTTTCCTCCTTCAAATTTAAAAGTTCTCCATTGAGTAATTTAACATTTTATAGAGTGACCAAACATGGCACTTAAAATGATTTCAACATAAAAATTTCATATAAATTGTACAATGAAAAAGTACCTTTTCAGAAAAGCTCTCCAAGCTGCCATCGAATGTAAAATTCCGATATTCATGCTTCGAAACTCTATAACCAGGAGGAGTTCTCTGCTTCAAAAGCTGGATGAAAGCTGCGGCCAAAGTGACGCAAAACGATGCAGAGCTGCCGGTTCCTGCCCCGAGCTCCAACTCCGAGTCAATCTCTAGTGTGCTGGGAGGTACATTTACGAGCGTTGTTCCCAAGATGCCCCGAAATAAAAAGAAAAAGGCGTGCAATGCTTTTCTAATAGCATCAGATTGTTCAACTGAGGCATTGAAATTGACGTCTTTCCCTGAGAGCTCAAGAAGCGCATCAATGTCCACTAGACCTACTGTACCTAGATCGGTTTGCTGCTTGGATATTTTCTTTTTCAAAGGGATATTCTCATCAAGCTTACTTTGCAAATTAGCTAATTCAAAAGTTTCACAGTACCCTAATTTGGGCAGATTAAGAGTGAAAACATCACCCTCGACCTCTTTGAATGTTGCCGTTGTACGATTACTGATACTGGCAGCAACGGCTAGTTTACCATAAACAACGCTGTGTTCACCAAATAGGATTATTTTTCCTGGAGAAGACGTACAGAAATTGATCTTATTGTTAGAGTCTGCCATGATTTGCTACTTATTTTTTGTTCACCCCAATGAAAGACTTCGCTAGTGTAATGATTTAGAAGAAAAAAATTAAGATGAGATATATTTTTGGAATTTTTTTTTTACATATATTGTTGAAGAATAAAGTTCATCTGCCTCATAAATTAGAGGGGAAAGAAAATGCTTTAAAAATTAACAGAGAAAAACTAAATGAACTTGAAAAGTAATTAAAAATTATAGAACTGGTATGAGATCACTTTTTTTCTTTTTCCCATTCTTCTGGAGTTAAGGTTCGCTGGGAGAAAGCATGAATTTGTTTCATCTCATCAGCAATTATGGTGTATACAAGTCTGAAAAAAAAAAAAAAAAAAATTCGTTAGGAAAATAAATTAATTTTTCAAAGAGGGAAATAAAATATTGAATCAGAAACTAATAAATGGACTAAAAATTTGTAATAGCGAATATCAAGCATCTGGCTTAGGTTCCTCTCTGGAAGATGGTTCATCTTCGGTTCTGATTGTCAAATTATATCAATAAATATGGATAAAAATCATGTTAGTTATAATGGCAATTAATTACTGATTATAACAGATGAGGTGCTAGGGTGACAATAGCCCTTGCTTTATATTAATGTCACAGCATGTACTTAAGTTTAGTTAAACAAACCAACTACACACTGCACTCATTCAGAAAATCTCAAAACAATCTTAGATTTTCTCTCTAAGAAAAGGGGGGGAAAAGAAAAACAAAAAGAGCATGAGATCTTTTCGAAGTTTAAAATAATTATTTAAAAAAAAAAAAAAACCAAACAAAAATCCAATGTTCAGAAGAAATTTTCAACTGAGGTTGCATTGGATCGCATGTAGCAGAACGGAACCAATGCGATTAGTGTTGTAAAAATCTTGCAATAAAATTTTTACTTCATAAAAACTCTTGAATAACACATATTTTCTTTCTGCCAAAAAATTTCTAATCTAATGAAAATTAATGAAATAAATTTAATTACTGTACATGTATTAAGTATTTTTTCAAAGTTAAATAAAAAATGCACCATTTTGGAAAAAATCTTTGCATCGGTTCCCTTCTGCTACAAGGATCCAATTGTACTCTAATTACTTGGAGGAGATTAGGTACACAATTGGACTACATTTTGCAATTTGGAACTATAATTTTTGGCTCAGTTTAGAGAGAAGGTATGTGCCGTTAGTTTCCCTATGCACATAAGTGTTTTACAGATGATCCAGAAATTGTAGATTCTGATTGCAAAGTGCGTCCAACTGTGCAACTGAGTTTCATTATTGTAATTTTTATGTTTGCCACCAATGGATCACAAGAGAAAGGAGGGGGAATGATGCTAAGGATTGAAAGTTGGCCAGGAAACCATTGACACGACCACAGTATAATTGCACTTCAGAGTGCCCATTAACTCACGTCAAACAGTCCATTAAATGCTCTGATACCTACTTAAACAAAGTGTAAATCAAGGCAATAAAAATGAGTAGTTGACAAGCTCTGTTTAGATTTTCTTAAAACCGAGATACAGAAGAGGGAACTTGGTGAATGGACTTCTTCTGTCTCCGTTGATTACAGATATCAACTACAGTATATCATCTCAGGAAGTGCTGAAAGACAAATTTCCACGAAGGTATTTTGTCTCTTACCTCTGTCTTTCTATTCTGCTTTTCCCTACAAATTTCTCGGAAACAATAACTGCTTGGAATTTGGAACCACATCCGTCAGAGATATCGTTAAGCTCCTGAAAGCAGCAAAACAGAAAAATTAGTCAACCGGAAAAGTAAAGAAAATTGGTTTATAAGTCAATTTTTAGGCAGATTTAACCAGAAACAGCATAACTACATCAGACATTACCTGATGATCTTTGATGTTCTATTTTTTAAACCAAAAACGAAGCAACACTCAAACTTGAAATTTTGTGCATTTTTCATGATCTGAGGTATATTTACAGGACGTTTCAAGGCTTTTAATAGTTGAACAGCTTAAAACTTTCTAAGAATTTACTTTGATGAAGATTTCAAGAAACACAGAATTTCAGTTACAGTGTTTCTTATTTCGGTTACAATTTCTAAAAAGATGACTTACTTTTCCAATTTTGAAATCTGACATGGGTACTGAGGTACACACAAAAATGTTCACTAATTAAGGATTCACAGCTCTTTCTTGTTACCCGAGGGTTCATTTTGCTAATTTCTATTTCAGTTCCAAAAACAGAATTTTATTTTTTTTTAAAAACTTCTAAGCAGTCACCACCAATGACTGATTTGTACTGCTCACACACAATAAACATACTTATATCAGCCTTAAGCATAAATATTGTGAAACAGCAAAACTACATACGGACAGCGTAAGTCTGCAATCACACACCTATCTCGTTTTTGGTGTCTGAAAATCTCCGCCTCTATGATATTTTTTTTAAAGGGGAATAAATTGACATCATTCCTTGAAGTTTAGAGAGCAGAGTTTTCTTTGCACAGAGAAGAAAAATTACGGAAATTTTCAAGAATTGCCGTTGAGTAGTTTTCCGTTTAAAAAATAAAGTATGACAGGGAGTCTGCAACATCGCAAACCGAGTTATGTGATTGTTGACTTATAGCGTCAATACCTCTGTTTGTAACAGCTTTCCTCTGTCACATTTTCCTTTTATGATGAATACTTGGCTGATCATCATGGCAAAATAAAATTTTGTGTGATTTTGTTTTTTTTTTTGTCTTATCGAGAATAATTTCCGAAAATTATAGGCAGTAAGGCAAGTTTATTTTTTTGAAAGAAAATAAAACATAATCATAAATTCTAAAACATGTCAAGAAACGTTATTTCGTTGTTACATCTTTGATACCGATAGAAAAAGAGTTTGAAATCATGATCAACATCAGCATTATCTCAATCATTTCTAAATTTTCACTCTCATATTTTGCTGTAGGACAGACTAGCTTTACTGCATGAATTTTTTTTTTTTTAAGGAAAAATTATCAGGAGTTTTCCAGAAATGTAAAAAACCCTGACTTTCTCGGTTAGTTTCCTGTTAAAAAAATGAATACAGTTTAACTTTGAAAAGCCGCACACTTGTTTTGCCGATTTCACCATTGAAACATAGTTAAGTACCTTTGAGACAGTTCGTAAAGTATGAAAATAACAAATTTGATTGGGGGAACAAGTGAGTCCTTGTAATTTAGTCCCAACTTTTGTATCAAGAAGTGTGCAACTTAGCACACTTCTTGATACAAAAGTTAGGACTAAATTACACAAAAAGGAACGACTATTTCTGGCTTATTACAGAAACATCGTACATGCCATTGGTGCAAAGAAAAAAATCTGCTCAGCAAATAGATTATACGAGACTAGACAGATGGGTATTTTTAGGGATCAGCCAGAGAAATCGATGGCTAAAGTTGGAAAAAATGCACGTCAAATTGCAATATTGTAAGTCTCCACTAATGTTACATTTCTACAGGGATAATCAACTGACAGTTTCTATTGAAAGAAGTTTTTCACTCATCCTAAAAAAATCGCACAAAATTCCAAGGAAATACTCTATAGTTTTACTTAATAAAACATAATTAAAGATTTTTTAACGCAACAATTAAGATATAAATTTGTTGCATTTTTGCTTTTTTTGGTTGTGCGTGTGTTTAAAAGCAGAGAGACAATTGTATTATGGACACACAATTTAATTGAAAAAGTAATTGATCCTAAGTCAGAATTGGAAAGTTATTATTTGACCAATCAATGGGAAACTTTAATGAAAGTGATCATGAGTTAGTTCATGTGGCTACTTTCGGTGAAATGCAAAAAAAAAGGTTCATTGTCATCGACAACTTGACAGGTATTACTGTGGGCTTAGGTCTAGGTAAGTACCGTTCATGGAGAGAAAGACCAGTTCAAAAACAAAATTTATTACCCAACTCAAAATAAATTAATCAACAAAATAATTTCTCACCGTAAAAAGTATTTACACACATACACAGTACAAATGCTATTCCAATTATATAAAGTTCTACTACTAAAGTTCTTATTAATGAAATTAATGTTAATTGGAGGAACTAGCAACTTGAATTAGATTTTAAAAGTTTTAGTAAGAAGACTAGTTCGGAAGTTTTAGTAGTTTTAGTGGTGTAGATCGGCCGGAGTGTCAAGGAAAGTAGTAGTAGTAGTAGTAGTAGTAGTAGTAGTAGTAGTAGTAGTAGTAGTAGTAGTAGTAGTAGTAGTAGTGGTAGTAGTAGTAGTAGTAGTAATACTAGTAGTAATAGTAGTACATGGAGAGAAATTAAATGTTGAGATTTAGCATTTATACTGTTAAAAAGATGTCGGACAAGTTTCAAATGCTGATTTTACATTTTAACAAATGCTAACGTAACTACACCCACTGCAAAACGTACAAATTAAAATGTTATGTTAGCATTTTTGTATTGTAAAATCAGCATTTGAAACTTGTCTGACATCTTTTTAGCAGTATAAATGCTAAATCAACATTTATTTTTTTTCCGTGTAGTAGTAGTAGTAAGAAGACAATTCAAATTACAGCATTTCAGTCAAAGGTGACTCGTCTCAACTGAAAAGAGAATTTCAAAAGACCACCAATTAATTATCACACAGGGCAAAATAGATAGAAAATGCAGGCATTCCATATTCAATTAGACATCCACGTTTTTTAGCAAAAATACGAGGCTCTACGAGAAATCTTGATTATTGTTTTAATTATTTTAAGAATTGTACTCGTCAAACTATACAAAATGCTTTTAATATTCTTGTTCCAACTTTTGTTAATATTCTGATTGTCTACCTAGCAGCTCTACAACATCTAGTAATATTTTTTTTAAAATGTGCAGTCAATAATTGTTAAGGTCAATTTAACAGTCTATTTACAGAGTTAATAACAGTCAATTGTGAATCTCACAGTCAATTAACAGTCAATGTTGCTATTTTTAAGTCGGAAACTTGTACTTGCAAAAATTTTCTTCCTTCAAAGCTAAAAGGACAAAATTGAGGAAAAACGCTGAAGCTGACATTCAGTAAACTAAACAGAGGTAGAAATGGTGTTCAGTTTAAATTTCTTGGGCGAAACTGTTTTACCTTGATTGCGTAGCAATTGGACATTAATACCTAGATGTCAATGAAGACTATTCAATTAAATTAGGATGAACACATAAACATCTGGATGTATAAAATAATCATGTAAAAATTCTATGATTAAGAGATAAAAAAGATCAACGATTACCCTATGCCAAAAATAATAGTGATTAACAAAACATTGAAAAAAAAAATTGACTACCTACCAGAAAGAACAAAATATCTGTCTCTAAGAGCAAAAAATCCTTTTCACACTTAAGTTATTCAGTCTTGGACGCAGCATTTTTTCTGCCATGTTGAGCAAAAACTCAGTAAAGGAATTACTGTCTTTTACCTTTTCTTTCTTCACAAAAAAATTCGGGCATTATTCCAGATTATTTTAATCAATATTATGCCTTGCTCTGTTAACAACTTCCTACTCTTTTCCCGAAGAAAAAACCTCCTTAAAAATTGGAATTACCACTGAAAACTGAGTTAGCGCAACTACTTTCTTACTGGTTTAAGCAGCCTCAAGAATACAAAATCAAGACCTTTTTTGTTGTTTCTTTTACACACAGTTCTTTCCTAGTGTTGTGAGTTTGAGTCGGTCATTTCTAATTCTTTATAGAGATGAATCATGATTTCCTCTGTAAATAGGATGTTTTTCAAGATGATCTTCTTGACATCAAATTGTTCGTTTTTTCTTCAAACCAAGTATTTACTACAGGTAATTAGTAAAGTGTATAATTCTACCACTTCTCGAGCACTTTTCAGAAATCAAGCATTTTCAAAATCAAGCGCTTTTCAAGGTCGCATGAACTACGTTCTTGCTCTGAATGGCAGTATTGTGCCCATGAGCATTGATAAATTACTCAAAGTAAAATTTATGCCTTAGAATTTTTGCTCCTTGACATCAAATCATTTTAAAATAATTTAAATTGAGGAATTATCAAGATTGAAATGAAATCAGATCCAGGAACATAAAAGGATTACTGTTCCTTTTTTGCTTCAGCTGTAGAGAATTGTTGAGAGTAAAAATAAACAAAAAAAGAGGCAAAATGGACGAAAGAATAGACAGCAAGTAATAGCGGGAATATATCCGGATACCTTTGTGGGGGCTCTATTGAGACCAGTCCTACGAACAGGTAAAAGTATCCAACAACTGAGAGAAAAAACAAATGCGTTTTTTTTATAGAGCCCCGCAAAAAACCTGAGCTTTTTGATGAGCTTTTGGATGCTAAATTAATTGATGAAAATTTTCTCATCGACGATAAACTAATAAGTATGAAAAGGCCAGTCAACGCTACAAATGCAATGATTAAATTGTCTTTGACTACCAAATGGGAAAGACTTAGCGTCGAAACTGTCAAAAACCAAAAACAAGGAAACGGGTCTTTCAAAAAGTGTAAAATGACAGGCACTGAAACAAGTAAAATGCTTTTTTCATGGACATGATAGGAGAAGAGGAAAAACCCTAGAGATACAATAATCAGTGATAATTTAAATTTGTGCAGTGTTGGCTTGATGAATAAATTAAAACAAGACGGTAGGACTGCTGCTGCAGTTGTAACTAAGCAGATTTGTGCAATTGTTTCGTTGGAACAATGAGCACGTAGTTTATAGAATACATTGAAAAAGCACCAAAAGTTGGCCACTTTATCTTCGAAGACACCGCGGTAGATAGGGAAAACTCGATGCAAAATTTGAGACACTTGGCTTGCATCAAAGATGAAGGGGAACCAGACGATAAGGAAGGTTGAGAGAACCATGGCTGCAAATGTCATAAAGGACAAAGCAACACCGAAAATGCTTCTAGTTTTTTGATACTTTTTGAAAATCAGTCCGAGAAGATAAAAGAAAAAAGGCAAAGCATGATATAGTTCCATTTGCTTGTAATTCAACGCCAAGGCAAAAAGAACGCACGCAAACTTGTATGACCCTTTAAAGACTGCTGCAACAGCAGCTGTCATTAATCCTAAAGATACGCAGTTGTACTGAAAATGTCCGTAGTCAACGATGATCAACCCTGGAAAAGTAAGTGCTATCAATATACCTAACAGAGACTGGTTATGACCCCGGACATTATTTTTGGATGAATTGATTACAAGAAAATAGTAGTACATTGCCGGGAAGAATATAAGTAAGTCAGAGATCAAAACAGTTGACCTCATGAAGATTTTATGGCCGTAGCTTTCATAGCCGCGAGACGAAAAGAGCTCTACGGACTGGGGATAAAAGATACTAGAGATTACACCACACAGCCACATGTGGTATGCTGTCAGAGGAGGATAGTCCAGCCCCCAGTACAACAAGTCGTTTCGTGTGGTGTTGTGGTACCATTCCCCGACAGGCAAGTTAGTAGTGATTTCCATCCAGTGTCGTTGGGCTTCATAGTCACCAAAAAGAGGTGGTTTATTTTGGCCAGAGTGAGGGTGGAGAGATGTGCACCAGCGTAAAAGTATCCCAATCAATATTATCAAGTACTTGGCGCTACTGATGATGCTTTCCATCTTTTCTCTTTTTAAACTAGGCGTTGTGATCAGACAATTTTGAAAAAATCATTCAAGTCCTCTCGTCTGAAACAGCAACAAACGCACATCATCAGTATTTTTTTCAGATAAATCAATGCATGAAATTATTAATTTGCTTTTAATAGAAGTGACGTGAAAGGGAAGGACCAGCCTCAGCTTCAAATCTCACTTCCCAATGTAAATAATAGAATGTATTTTTATTTGACTTTGCTACGAAGCACGGAATGAATGTGCTGTAAGTTTATTTACAAGAATTTGTCAAAACCAAAAAAACTCATATTAAAATGGAGCATAATCAATGCTTGAGTGAATCATTTTTGGTGATGACAGCATAAATCGACAGGCACAAAGAATGAACGCACATATTGGCTTTTATTTTGACTTATTTTGATTTAGTTTTCATGGTTTTCCAATTTTTATGGGAGTTTCGTGCCATCTCTTCCACCTCTCTTGGGATATTTTGAATGATTAAAAATAAGGCTAAGTAACACAATTCTGGTAAAATTCAACTTGAAGATATATAGCCTCTGAAATTAGGAGACACAGCGATAAAATTGTCAAGATGTAGTCAGGTCAGGGTCTAGTCAACTGCAACGGCACATGGATGATGTATACAGTTTTTGTGATCGTCGGTAAGTACGTTAGTATTTCGATTGAAATAATCGCTTGGACAACAGCAGCAAACCTCATGTGGCCAAGAAATCGACAGACAAAAGCCAAGCTGACTATCAAAATGCACTTCAATAGGAATACCTTGATTGATCGATGGGCTCATTCACACAAAGGAAGTCTATCTGCTATAAATATCAGGGGTGCAGAAGCTTCCCAACCACACGATCAGCCGCTCGCATGAAATGGGAGAACCCATGTGAGGACAAGAAAAATGGGGGAACCCATGTGAGGACGAAAAAATTGGGGGAACCTTGGGAGGGTTTTTTTTTTTTTTAGGATTTAGGGGGAACTTGACTGTTGACCGGGCTGTTTATAGGGAACCCAACTGTCAAATGCGTTACTTTAGGTGTCACGCAAAATTCTGCGAAAACTTAAAATGGGGGAACCTAAATTTATTTTGGGGGAGCCCTTGGAAGTTTCTGCACCCCTGATGAATATTACAGATGTGAAGAGATTTCTTTTGAACAGATGCTTCCAAATTGAAGTGATAGTAAATCTTTGTCCATCGAGATCATTTAATAAAGAGATAATGAAATTTAGATGATGAACCTGCATAAATCAAAGACAACTCGCCTTATCGCTTTACGAGTAAAGGATGCTACATAGCTTGTAATTCGATTTGAGGCTCCTTTTTACCTTGGAGCAAGGAAAGTTTTGTGAATGCAAGATTCCCTTCAGTAGTAAGGTTGAGAAAAGAGAGCTGACCAAACTTCTTAAGAGAGGCTGCAAAATTGCCAGCTGCTTTGGGACCGCATTCCTTGGCTTGTAGCCGAAGTCAATTTTAGAGGGCTTTTTCTTTATAGCGGATCGCCTGAGAAAACACTGGAATGGAATCCTGAGCAGTCCTAAGCATTTAAAGTGATAAAAAAATTCAACCTTCGTGGTTGGTTCGATTTGTTAAGGACAGAAACTTTCTCAGGTTAGGTTAGGATCACATTGTATCGCGATCTCAACCCACCTCGTAAGAGCGACCCATCCATTCTATCCTGATCCACTCGAACGTGGCTGAGGAACGGAATGAAAAATACTGATGTTCATCATGATCCACCGTGTTCCAGATAAAAAAAAGCCTTCAAGTTAGAGGTGCATCTTCCGCAAAGAAGAAGCCCTAACGTAACCTTAAAATTTTGATGATTGCAGAGCATGCTTACAGATTAATTTAAGGTGTGAAATATAGAGCAGCTATTGACTGCATTCTGTGCAAGAGCTGAAAATGAGAGAAATTAGGAGTCAAGGAGTGATTGAAACAAAACCTTAACAGCACGCAGCACTTACCAGGTAGGTGGGTTGCAGTTCTGCGTTTAGTTTGGTCCTAACTTTCTGTTCTATTTCGGTCATTATTGAGAATGGTCAAAAAGTAAATGCAGGAAAATGTAAGTTCAGTAGGAAAATTAACAAAGTTCAACGAGGTATCTACCTTCGTGAGCAGGAACTAAGCTTCATTTAAGAAAAACACCGGTCTTATCAGCAATGCCATCGGATTATCAGATGAACGGTGTGATCAATCAAACGCGCGATAATTAAAATGTAGCGTTGTTTCTGGGGAAAAAACTAATGAAACTATTAGTGCCGAGTATAGTTACTGCGATTTAAAAGTGATTACTTTGATTAGAGGTAGTAAAATGATTAAAACTTAGTACAAACTTCAAAATTCAAAGTTCCACGTCAGGAAGTGTAAAGAGTAAACAATCAGTTGATTCCGCGCCCCGCGCTCGCGGGGAAAAGCGGAGCCAGCGCTGTATGTGGATGAACTGTGAATTAAAAGCGACGGCAGCGCTGCATTCTGCTGTGATTGGCGCAACAGGCTTCGCGCGAAATAAAACTCATTTTGAATGAGCGCTCCTCTCAGTGCAACAGATGAATCACATACTAGGGAATTTTCAAGGAAGGGCTGTCCGTTAAAAGTAAGTATCGTCCGGCTGAAGTACCTATCACAAGCGCCATGCGACGTTTAAAAATTTCTGCCGCCATTTTATTTTTTTACAGAGACATTTTTTCAACGAAGCTGTCCGAAAATCTGACTGGATTTTCTTCGTGCCGTTGATAAAATCCAGTGAAATTTTCCAACAGATTCAACCAATAATTTCTCTGTAAACAAATAAAATAGCGGCGGAAATTTGTAAAAGTCGCATGGCGCTTGTGACACTTTGGCGGGAAGGTGACGATACTGGGAAATTTTCAAGAGAGGGCTGTCCGTTAAAAGTAAGTACCTTCGTGCTTGCTATTAATTTTAGCCCGATTCTGAAAACACATTCAGCGAAGGAAATTGCAAATTCATAAATCATTCTTGAAATGATAACTTAATTAACGGTAAATAAAAAAGTAGTAAAAAAAGGCTGGGTCCACACTATTTTGCAGGGAGAGCAAGGCCAAAATGTTCACAAATTTCAAATAGAGTTGAAAATTTGAGATCTATTGAGTATCACATTTTCGAACATTTTAGCCTTGCTTTCTCCACAAAATAGTGTGGACCCAGCACTATTTTACCACCTTGTTACGCACAGTTCAAGCCACATCTTTCAGTGTTTTTCTTTTGGTCTCCTTTAGACTCTCTAATGCACGAGGACTCCCATATAGCAAATTAATCAACATCATTTTTGGAGAACCATTACTTTTCTTTTTTTTCATTAGAATCTCTGGTGATGAGGATGTTCCGTGTCTCCTTGAAAAAGTGAAAAAAGTATGGAAACATTGAGATACTGCCATTGAGCTTTGAGTTGTCCGAGTTTTGCCGACTTACCAATTCTGAACTCTCTTATTTGTTATCACCTCTTCAATGCTTGGAAGCTTGCAAGATCACTTTAGATCAGGAATAATTTTAATTTTACAATCTCTAAAATAAACCAGATAAGCAATGATGAAACTGCAAGAACACACAAGTAAATATTTTGATTTCAGCGTTTAAAATTTCCGATTTTGATCAATTTTTTCCAAAGTATCCGACTGATATTCTTGCATGTAACGTTTTTCTAGAATTTCAGAGTAAGTTCTACCTAATCATTTTTTATTTAACTATTTGAAAGACATAAATTATTTTCTGGGGAGTATTTTTAGGTAAGTAAGAAAAATACAATCCTTTCTTTCACAAGTTAAATATGAGCAGTTCAATTTTTTGCTCTTAAAATAAAATATAGTGTCAGATGTTTACAACTTCACAAACTAAGCTACGTATTTATCTAGTTTCACCATCCAAATATGGCAACACCCATAGTATTACAGTAAAATTTGGCAACGCTGAAACCTCTGCCGGAATTTGGGTGTCTTCGGAGATCCTCCCCCCCCCTTGGCTCGTTTTGTCATTCTTCTCCTTCACTGATTGTGAGTTTTGTAAGTTTTAAGTTGGTTTTAATTATCCAAAATTTATTACGGTATCGTTTGGTAGCGCGGTAACTTTATTTCAGTTTGATTTTGGTGTGTCATGGGAAGCCCCCCACTCCAGGAGAAATGCTTGGATCACTGAAGGGCAGAATACCGTGGAAAGCCAAAAAATACTAATGTTTGGTAGAAGAAAATTGTGAAGAGGCTTGGCAACGTTGAAGGAAGAACTCTTGCGCTCCCGAGCGCTGAGCTTTTCTAGAGCAGCCTCTTACAATATGCGGAACGAGAAATTAAGGTCCCTTTTCCCGGACCTATTTCCAAAAAGGGCCCAGTGACTCAAAATCGCCGACTCGGCAATACAGAGTTATAAGAGCAGCAAAGAAAATGATATGCACTTTAGTATGTGCTGCCAAAAAATTAGAGACCTGCTAATCATCTTTCAAAATCGGGGGATTTGGGGGGAGGCATCTTTAAACATTTTCAATATTTTATGGAGAAACGCACTTAATGCTAATTTTCCACCCACATTCTAGCGTATTGGTATTCTCCAAGTGTTTTTCCACTGAAATAAAGGGACTCAAGTTTTTTAAGGATCCTTGGATTCTAGTTATTGATCCTTAGATGTCAGAGTACAAAGAAACAGTTTTTAGTCGTTTGAGAAAAATGAGACTGAATTGCTAAATTTCATGGCACCGAATGGTCGAAATGAATTTTGACCATGAATTATGCAGCTTAAATGATGCATTCATGTTCAACTGTAAAAAGTGTCACACTACGACTAGCTTCATTAGAGCATACAATACAACTATCTTTAAACCCTTTTTTTCTTTTCGTTTATTTATTTTTTTTTTTTTCAAAATCTGAACTTACACCTAGCTCTCCAAGTATCTCGCATTTCAAAGAAAACAGATTTTAAAATTGTTTTCGTCTTCTCCTTTTCTTGTTTCAATCAAATAGTTACGACCTTTGAAAGTTAGAAGCTTGCATTAAACCTAAAAACTTCACATACTATAGTTGTACAAAAATTCATTTATTATTAGGAGTACAAAGAAGAGCGTATGATTTAATTAACAGCCAGAAACAGTATCACAAGGCAGATTGCATTTTATGCAGCGAAAATTACAAATATGCAGGTACGAAAATCAAAAAATAAAAATTAACCCTCTCAGATTTAGAAAAAAAGATTTAACACAATAAGGAACTTAAGATAAAATTCACTATACGAAGTTAGTGTTACTGTATAATTGAGTTTCAGTTGTAGATAAAGTCAGAGATTTATAGTTTGAATAAAAAATTTTAGTTTATCATTAAATAACTTTACAAACAATTTTATAATACGCCCTTCCACAGGCTATCTCTTCAAATAATACCCTCAAACAGGAAGGTGAAATAAGTAAAATAATATCAGCCATTTTTAATGAATCAATCACAGGTACATTCGTCACCTTCCGGCCAAAGTATCACAAGCGCCACACGACATTTAAAAATTTTTGCCTCCATTTTATTTTTTACAGTGAAATTTATGGTTGAATCTGTTTGCAAATTTCGCTGAATTTAATCGGTAGCACCAAGCAAAATTTTTGGACAGCTTCATTAAACAATTTCTCTGTAAGAAAATAAAATGGCAGCGGAAATTTTTAAACGTTGGATGGCGCTTGTGATACTTTCGCCGGAAGGTGACAAAATAAAACATTACAGGTAAGAAAAGATCAAAAGGTATCTATCAAAAAAGCGCTAACAGTTTTATAATACGACTTGCTACGGGCAAAAAAGAACAAGCGCTGTTACAGTGTTTTAAAAACCGTGCAACTCTTCCTTCTCTCTTAAAAAAACTTAATGTAAGTACAGTATTGAAAAAGTCAGTAAGAAAAATAATAAAAACTCCGACAAAAGCATCATTTGTAATCAACCAAAATGGATTAAAAAACATAAAACTAATTAGAAGCTCTGGAAACACGATCAAATTCGGAACCAATTCCGATCAAAGTAGACATGCTGATGACTGATGGTCACCATCTACCATCAAATTTTGACAGGCCGCACTATTTTGTTCAAAGTAAGGTTTCACCATCCATCGCTGTATTCGCATTTCCAATATGGCGAATTACTAAAACACATTTCAGAGTATCAGAGTAGTTGTTGTCGCATGCTTTCATTATTAAATTTTGTGTAATTAATATTTAATATAATTTATTCTCCCAATTAAAATGGACCAAGAAGATTGTCCGCGATTAGCCTTTGTTCACAACAGTATTAAAAGTGCACCACCCACAACAGGAAAAGGAAAAGTAGTATTGAATGTTGTCAGGAAAATTACCCAGCCAAATGCCACTAGTGCACTTATTCAACCCAAGAAAACTACCATTACTAATAAGAGGAACCGTGACGAAGATTCAACTGCTGCCCAAAAGAAGTGGCCTCCTGAACACATCCTAGAACTAATAATCGCCTACAAAGGGCACCCATGTCTGTATGACCTGAAGCACCCTCAATACAGTAACAATGGCAAGCGTATGATGACCCTAGCCGAAATAAGGCAACTTATGGATATTTTCCGCCCCGGCATGACAGGTAAATTATGTACTTTTTTTCACCATTCAGGTTTATACCTTAAGTGTCTACATCTATTTCTCAGTTCATGCATCACAGAATGTAAAAGTCAGTCATACTTTTCATTTTGCCCAACACATATTGTTGAAACCAAGCATAGCAAACTACAAAATGCAGAAAGGAATCATAGAAAAGCGAGTTTTACCCCTCATCATGTAGTAATAATTATGTGAGGAAGTTTTGCTGGCATCTTACAGTTCTCAAAAGTCACACTATCATTGATATTCTTCACTCCGCATTTGAGATATTCCTTCTCTCTACTCTTCAACACCTCTGGTGTTATTTCCACCTCTTATGCTGAAACCTACAGAATCTCATTCGACAGAGAAACAACGTAAATCGCTATAGTGGTGCTTGAAAATCTCCGTCCCTGTCCTATTTTCTTGAAAGAGAACAAATCAACATCATTTCTTGAAGTTTTTTCAGAATGTGTTTCGTATGGAGAAGAATAATCACGGTATAGTTTTTAGGAATCAAAGCTGAATATGATGTTTGATGGTCTCAGGCAATGGTCACCTGGGGCTGGGGTAATCAGCGTGGGATCAGCCAATAGGCTATTTGAAATTGGTAAAACAAAAAAAATAAATAATCCTCCATTTATAAAACCAAGACTTACAGGAAGTCTGCAAAATTGCAATCCGAGGTACAAAGTTTGGGAAATTCACCATCGATTTGCTTTTGCTAGTCAATTTCTTATAAACCCCTGTCTACATCAGGTTTTTTGTGAGTTTTCCTTAGTGCAATGAATCATTGCGCACCAGTGTGAAACACTTGTCAGCTTGAATCTATTTAAATCAAATAATGGCTTTTTAGATAAATGGAATCCACCGGTGAGAGCCAGACAGACTTAATTGCATTGCAATATTACAAAGATTCATTTGACAATTTATTAATTTAATCAGGAATGGATGAAAATTCTTCTCTGAAATGTTCTAGTGAATCTTTGTTGAACCATCTAGGTGTAGTCTAATTTTTTTTTCTTCTTCAGTTGCCATTTCTGAATAATTTAAAGTTACTGAGTTTTTTTTTTTCTTCTTCTTATAGAAGAGGATATACTAAGACAATTGAATAGTGTGAGAACACAGTTTTGAACTGAATACGGAAAGATGAATGCAAAGGAGCAATTACCTACTGGCACTCAGGCTCCAGACACACCACCAGAGCCCTACGTACCTAACATGACTCATTTTGACGAATTGCTGTTTCTTGCGGAGCAAATTGGTGGACAGAAGTCCACCTGCAGCTTAGAACTGACTGATGAGAATGGAGGTGGAATTGATGAAGCAATTTTGCAAGATGAGGTTAGTATAACTTATTCTATTCATTAATTTTACGAACTTATGAGTGCAAGAACAACCTATCTCGGGACCAACTTCGAGGAAACTGAAGAAACCGACACAATCCGAGGATTTTAGGTGAGCAGAAAACACTTTTGATGTATGTCATCAACTCAAGCCTGTATCACATGATCAAAGTAGAGCTGTCAAAGATCGTCGATTGAACAATCTTTCAGGGTCATACGAAGTCCCTTTGGGGGCTCATACCATGATTGTATGGTACTGTCTTTACAAAAGAGACTTACAGCCAAAAGTATTTATGGTTTTGCTTTTTTGCCAGAAAAATTGTAGTAATTCAAAACATCCGAGTGAGTCATGGCGTTTTCCGCACTCATCGACTTTTCAATTAAAAAGTAGATTTTAAAAATTTTAAATGTGAATGATAAATTATTTGCAATAGTACTAGTCAGATATAGGAAGAAATGAAGCTGAAGAGAATCAAATAGAGTGGTGAATAATCAGTGATCATAGGCAGTTCCACGGAGGTGCCAGTGGGTGCCAGGCACCCCCAAGCAAAAATTAAGTACGGTTATTGGAACCGTGAAAATACTGCTTTTAACGATTCTGTATTCGCTCACACTGAGAAAAATTCCCAGCAATTAATTGAAAATGTTTTAAACAGAATTAAAATTGATAGCCGTGTTTTACAAAGATTCCACTGTTTTTTTATGGTAAGATTGTAGTTTTGAAGGAAAATCTTTGCTAAAAATGTCCTAAATTGAATTTACAAGTATTTAAGTGGAGAGAAAGGAGAGAAAAAGAGAAAGGAGGGTAGGGAAGGGATAAAACTTGAGGGCAGAAACTTAGGCCTCCCCTGAGCGACTGTCCCCTTTAGAGCCGGTCTCCGACATTTTCCACCTCTGGGCACCTCCCAGAATGAAGGTCTAGAACCGCCTATGTCAGTGATCCTGATACTCGACATACCCTTTCAATGTCAATGTCCACTACGCCAACTTTATTTGATATTAAAATAGGTGCGTGGAACAGTTTTTAAGCAAGAGGAGATATGTAGATTGTTTTTATAATGATTGATTCGACAGTTCAAGGGATGAAAATGTATTTTGTACCTGTAAAACTTTGTTTGATGATTCTTTCAGGAAACACACACCGATCTTCAGGTTCATAATCTTCTTGAAGGTAACCACTTTCCGTAATGGGTCAAAATAATCTGGGGAAAAAAGAGGTGGAGTATAATAAAATGAACTAGGTAAACCCTAAACCCCCTAGAACAAACAATCACGGATTACTTAGGGTAATTTTAATGTGTCTGACTTGAGCGATAAAGTGAGACAATATTTGGAAAAATATTTGGAGCTGAAAGGTGAAAACTCATGAATGTGACTTTCTTAAAATCGCCGAAGTCTTTCAATGAACAGAATAATCTGGGAAAATTACTTTCTTCAAAAAATAAATAAAATGAGCTGGAGAAGAGCAGAAGATTTGTTAACATAGTTTAGGTGTCAATAAAAACATCGATAAACTCTCACAAAATTGTAGATTAAAAATCGAGGCTGAATGATTTTGCGGAAAGCGATCTCATAACTGCTTCATTTGCCTGACTTTTTTGGCTTTTTGCTGACTCCAGAATTTTGTGATTCCTTGTTTTTCCCTTATCTTTGGACAAAACTACATCTTAGATTTTTTCCCTTACAATTACGCTGACTGCTGGGAAATTTTGCATGAAATTTCCACTTAGATTTAAATTTTAGAAAAAGGCACTTGAAAGTTGTCCCTGCTCTCTAAAAATAATGCCGGCTGCAGTTGCTGAGCTGATGCGCTACTTGCCAAAGTCTTAGACTTTTCAGGTTTTCTTGAACGCCGAAAACCCTGAAGATTAATTAAAAAAATGTGTAATAAAAGAAGTATTTGGATGAAGTTTGACAATTTCCTGCAGATTTATCAGAAGATCAACATTTCGAAAACAATGTATCTGCTAAAATTACATTTTGGATTTTCCTGATTTTTTACCTGACCCAAGTAGCATGAATTGCAATTTCATTGCAATGGATTGTGAGTTGATTGCAATTTTTGTTTGTTGCCTATACGTTCATTTGAAGGCGCTGAAAAAAGTTGCAATTTTATTGGAATGAACTTGCAGGAAATGTAGGTTATGCTTGTTGCCTAACCTTCTTTTTCAAGGCACTATAAAGACTGCAATTTCGGTGCGATCATGTTGAAACAAATTCACGCCATGTGCCTGGCATCCAATTTTCTAGTTGTTTTAAAGTTTTTTCGACTTAAATGTCTCACCTAACCCATATAGCCCTACATATTTTGAAAATATTGTCACCTTTATCAAAATATTTTCATGGCAATATTGTGAATAAAATATTTTCAAAATATTTTGAAAATGTTTTCAAAACATTTTAAAGGAATATTTTGAAAATGTTTACAAAAAATATTTTTAAAATAATTCAAAAATATTGCCTGTAAAAAACATGCATGTTAAAAATATTCCTTAAGAAAGTTTTGAAAATATTTTAAAAATATTTTTAAGTTCTCAAGTTAGTATGTGGTGTAATTTACACCGGTGTAAATTTAGTGTAAGTACCTATTACGTGATACCGAAAAAAAAAATCAGACAAAAAAAATATGAAAAAAAAAAATAACACGAAAAAAAAATAAACAATAGGCAAAAGAAAGAAGCCTGAGAAAAACGGCGTTAATCAAATCTATGATAAAAGTTGAGCCGCGCACTGACGCAATGCATGCTATAACAGCCTTAACAGGCGTGATTTCAACCCAGCTCACCATCAGCTCCCTGTGGCTCGGAAGAGTACTCCGCTATGACATTCGCGGGTCGGGTTCAAGCCCACTCAAGAGCGTTCGGTATTTTATGCTGCTAAACGTCATAGGACATTAGGTAAGTATGGGTTCGAATTATTCTAATTTCCCCGGAAAATTTAGGGGTTGAAATTTAAAGGTCGTCAATATTGAAATTTCTTTGCAAAAAAAAATTGCAACTTTTTTACAATGAGGGGGTCAGATGTTGTAAAATAATTGCAATTTTCTTGCAAGAAAGTTGAAATCATCTGGAAATTTTATTTCATTTAAATTGCAACTTTTTCGTTCCAAAATGCTACTTGGGGAATGAATCGATAATCGTCTAATTACAAAAATCAACATATGTAATGAACTGAATAAAATGTTTCACTTTTCCATGTGCTAAACTGCAAATAGTTTTTTTTTTTTTTTTTTTTTTTTTTTTTTTTTTTTTTTTTTTTTTTTTTTTTGTTTATTTGTCATTCAACAACGTTACAATAGAATTAAAAGATTTACATCAAAAGAGATAAAAAATAAAAACAGGTAAGAAAGGGGGGTACGAAAGATTGAATTAAATCATTAAATCGTTAAATCATTGTTGAGTGACTGCTGGAAACACCATCAGGCATAGCATCAGCATCAAGGGTCTTTTTTCTACTTTCTATCACGATCTTCACATAATTACATGTGGCCGTCCAATTGTCTTTTGAGCTTAAGATACTGCAAATAGTTGAAGAATGCTTGACACACTCGGAATTTTCTGATTCATGACCGATTTTCGAAATTTTTCCTGATGTTTTTACTGACAGTGGCTGCTCTGAAATAGAAGACACATTTACTATTAATAATACAAGTTGGTATTGTAGGAAAAACAATAGTCTATACCTGAATTCATCCATTTTCCAGACTGCTTCTCCTTCAGAAGTGAAAATATCTCTCGATTTATTAACCACTTTTAGTGTTCAAGGAGGTGGGGAGGACAAGTTTAGCTGATTGCTTTGCTAGTTTATCCTCTTTCTTGTCTAGTTTCATATCAATATTTTTATCTGAAAAATAAAACAACAAGGTAAATTGATTAGGATCGGAAGTTCCATATATTGATAGAAAATTTGACATACCTATCGATCGAAAGAAGATTCAACTGATAGATCAAAAGAGGAGTTGAATGGTCCATAGACAAATGATTTGCCTTGTCAATGGAGAGACTTCTAGTCAATGAAACAGATGATCCAACTTATTGATTGACAGAGAATTTGATTGGTTGCTCAAAAAACAATTTGACTGGTTAATCTAACAGGTTAATGAATAGACAGTTTGACTGATGGAATGATAGAGAATTCGATCAGTTAATTGACAGGAAAGGACACTACAAAATTGTTTCCACTCTCTCGAGTGGCACTAACTGAAGTTGCTAAGCAGATGCGCTATTCGCAATATTCCGATACTTTCCAGGGGTTCCCTAAATTCCTGACTTTCCTGGATAACTGTATATTCTTTGACTTTCCAGGTTTTCTAGACTTTCGAAAAAAAAGCAAGGGCTAAAAAGAGAGAAAAATAGGGGTCATCACTCCCGCAAGTTGCCCCTCAACCCAAGATTTGCCTTGTTTGTCGCGATTCGCAGATAAGGTATTTTTAGCACCCTTACTTTATGTAACCCTGAAGACAGAGGCTAGAATTTGTGATACACCTTTAATTTTCTTTGTTAGAGATCTTAAGTCAAGGGAGTTTCAAGAAGTATTTCCAAATTTTGGTTAAAGGATTACATGTCATACAATCTCACACTCACCAGTATTGAGAAAAGGAAGGAGTTTAAATTCTTCAACATTAAAAGTTCTCTTTTTCTTCTTCTTGGCCTTTTCCTTTTGCTTGTCAGCACCTTCTTCACCAGTTCCAATATCACAATCCTCATCGTCTTCATCATCATTATTGTTTTTCCGGCTGAAAAGAATAAATGAGGTTACCAAGTATCCTCCACAAATGTAACAAAAAATGACTTAGAATTAACTAAATTCTCAAAAAAAATTGTGATTTCAATTTAACCCTTTCGATAGAACCATTACGTTAACCTATCCACCAGTTTGTGCATTGCGCTTTCTCTTTAATGGAGCACTTTAATGGAATCCATGAACCCTTAAGAGTTGGTGCCAAGTTTCAGACTGCTTGCATAATTTTCCATTAGGATATGAATAAGAAACCATGTTATACCTAAAAAAAGCGGACATCAGAATTTGCTGTTCATCTTATCCAAGCTCGTTGATCTCCTTGATGATAGAGTATATAAGCACATTAAAGTACCTAGTAATAAACATAAATAAGACTGTTGCATATAGGTATCTGTAGGATGGCATCCTCTCCAATTTTTTCCCTATTTTAGAAGATCAATAATATAATTTGACTCTTCTTTCCAATTTGAAAGTTACCAAACACTTAGTTCCTTAGAAAAATCATTAAAAAACTCAACAGTTATCATACATTGATTCATTTAAAGCACTTTCCCTTTTTTACATTAGATAAGTAGTTAATTTTATGTCTTAAAAATAGTTTTACGTAAGAATAGGAGATGTGGTCGTTTTTTAAAATCACTGCATCTCAATTGAGGGCTTTGGATGACAAGTGGGCTAAGAGCAGTTTTTGCTATTTCAAGGGTAGGTTTTGAAAAGTTTAAAGTAGGATGGAGCCTTGTTGCGGAGAAAAATTACAAACTCAGTTTTTTATGGTTAAAAATTGGATTTTGGTGGTGGCTTTTTCACAGAATATATTCTGGGACTAGTTTTAGTTTAAATCATTAATATCTAAAATTTTTCAAAAGCTGCACTCATCCCCCTTGTCTCCCAAGCCCTTCCATTGAATTTGCTTTAAATTTAAATTCCTAGAGCTCATTTTTTAGAAAAAGATTTGCTCTTTTGTTTAAAATGATTTCCTTGACGAAACCCTCTTTGCTGTACAGACGCAAATGTGCACAGCTTTGAAAACTTTAAACGTCATTTTCTCAAAACTTAAAGCTTAAAAACTTGACATCCGCTATCTATGCATATATGGCTTTATATACTGTCTGTTGGTATAGATATGAACTACAGTTGCATCATATTCATGACAGATGGCGGACACATCTATACATGAGAGAGAGCTTTAAAGCGCCTCAGACTGCCATGTTTTGCCAATATGTTTTTCCTAACTTGGTTTGTGGGATGTACATGGAGAATCTTCATCTAGCGCCTATTGAAGGAGTAAAGCCCCTGAGAAAATACTTTGATCACTTACTTTATGTTAGCAGAAAGCCGTGTGCTCATAGTTCTTGCCCAAATTGAGTCGACATTCTTGGCAAAAATAATCAGTGAATTCTGAATCGCCATCACAGCTTCAGCAAAATTTAATTCTTATACTGCTGAGGAGTTATTGTAGAGGTTCCTAATATTCCTCATGTATGCCTCCAGGTACTGAAAAATGTATTTGACAGGTTAGTGAAATAAGTAAGTATATATAATTTTTTCTCAGCTTTGTCATACCTAAATACTATA